TTATTTAATCCTCAAAATGTTTTATTGAGATACACCAACAGGCCCCTAAAGTGGTCCTGCCAGTAAACTGCGTCTTAGCCCCTAGATCGCCAAATTTATTTTCTCACAATATTTGATGTAAAAAGCTTTGCGGCTTTTGAAAAAAGGTAGTAGCCCTGACGGTCATATGAAAATATATTTTACGACCTCATAAATAATTCATCATGTGAACATTATTCATCATATGAAACTATTGATAATGTTGTGCTTTCTTCAGGATCTAATGCAATAAATCAAATGAGACAATATTTCACTGTATTAAACTTGTTTCTTTTATTTCCAGTCAAAAGAGTTACAAAGCTCAGCCTACTCTACTAGGTAGTAATAGGGACGTAGGCCTACGTGTGTCTCATATGTAGGTTCTCCCTCGTGTGTGTGTGTGTGTGTGTGTGTTAGCTCTCTATTCGCCTGATCTTTTCTATTACTTTTCCCGCCCCTGCTTGTCTGATAGGCACACAATTAGCTTAGTACGCGTGTAAACAACATACCTGGATGGACCTGGATATCTAGTGTTGTTTCAATAATATAAATACATGACAATAAAAGTTTGTTGACTATAATTAAAATATGTTTACAGCCAATTTTCAGCTGCCATTTTTATGATTACATGATTTACATTGTAATGATCTTCCGTCTGGATAGCTCAGGTTCAGCAGTAGATGTACTCGCACGCAACCATAAACTCAAGCAATAATAATCTCATCACGGCAGTATAACACATGACAGCAGAAATGGAATAACAAAAACAATATTCTCAGGTCCGGTTAGCCGGTATAGTTGCCTAGTTTATTCATTACCCATAACAAAGTAGAACACCTACATGTACTATATCCAGTTTACAGTGGCTACTCTGGGTATTACACTAGTGAACTCTTTGGCCCAACTGATGCTGTGCGCTGCTGCCCCTACTTCTATAAGGACATTCACGCGCACGTCTCCAAGGATTCTTCCACTAGAAGGGAGCGGTCCAATTTCGTTACAATATATATTGATAAAGACAAAATAAGATAAATTAAAGAAGTTGAACAATTAAAACAATTTAAATGAATTAATGTAAAATAAAAGACTATCTCATTGTTAATAAAACACTAAAGGATTTTTTGGTTACTAATGGGACCCCTAATTACCAAATATTAGACATAAAAAAACTAGACCCAGGCCCTTGACAGGCTCATTTAGAGCCTAAGGTACCCAAGCACCATATCTGATGCTCAGTTATTAATTATAAATTGCAGACATACCATAATTGAATATATTAAGTTACTGTTATGCTTAGTGAGCATTTAATGCCTTTCCTTTCAATTACAGAGCACTTTTTATCGCTAGTCGTTGGGTCCACAAGCTGAAGCATTGCTGAAATTTCAGCGCAGAAGTGGGCAACCCCTTCAAGTAGCCATTTATACTCCTGGATTGAGATAATACACATAGAGTTCCTTGCTCAGTATCAGCTATCCAGTCCTGTAGTATAAGCTACACAGCCATTTAGTATTATTTACATGGCCCTTTAATATCAGCTACTTAGTCCTTTAATATCAGCTACACGGTCATTTAATATCTGCTACATAGTCCTTTAAACAAACTAGACGGTCCTTTAATATTGGCTACACAGACTTAATAGCAGGTACTCGGTTCTTAAATATAGCTACACAGACAGCCCTTTAATATCAGCTACACAATCCTTTAATATTGCCTCCATGGCAATTAAATATCATGCAGCTGCATGGCCCTTCAATATCACCTACACGTCCCTTTAATATCAGCTACACGGTCCTTTAATATCAGCTATGGTACATTACCCTTTAATATCAGCAACACGGTACTTTAATATCAGATATGGTACATGACCCTTTAATATCAGCAACACCGTCCTTTAATATCAGCTATGGT